GTTGATTTCTTGGTGGCCACCCTGAAAATCTTCATGTGAGTAGTGTAGCATGTCAACACGTAAGGAATCTGGGACCACTAGTCTGACTTGTGACTGTTTATTACGTGATCTCTCTGGAGTGAGTGCACTCCGTCTGTAAATGACTTCTCGAGAATCCAACACAAACTGATCGGAAAGCTTAGCAATCTCCTTCACTTGTTTTCTTGAGACACATCTACTTTTAGAACCTTTTTCATTTGCTGAATACACGGATTCTCATCTTGGTGAACCTTTGTTCTTCTCCAACGTTCACCCTGGTATCCAGACCGGTCTACGGGACTCCGGGATTCTGTGTCTATTCCTGCACGGGTTCTCGTCATCTCCATCAATGCCTCAGCAGCGGCAGCTAAAGACTCAGGTATTCCGTCATCGGGGTTTCTCATTTCAAGGACGACTTGGTCCGTACGAACTGCATCGGTCGCAGAAGTATCTGAGATTTCCGAAGGCTTCATGATCTTTTCAGGGATTCTAGATACGAGACGTAGATGTACTATCTTGTCTGGGTCATCGATCTCCCAGGATCCTCCAAGCAAGAGAGTCTTAGAGGTCAGGTAGTCGGCCGCTTGGTTAAATTCACGTTTAACATGAATCAACTTCACAGACGCCAAATCCTTCCTGAGATCCTCATATTCAGCCAAGCGTCGTTGCAAATTAGGCTGATTGCAATTAATCAGGTCCTGAGCTTGTTGGATGACGATTCGGGAATCACCGACTGCTACAAGTTCCTTAACATCAAGCTTCATAGCGAGCTTTAAACCCAGAATTAAACCATGATATTCAGCGTCGTTGACTGTCACACCTTCTAGGATATGTCCTTCAGCCTTCACGACCTGGCACCCTGACAGCTTCCGCAATATACACCCGCAGCTTCCTCGGCGGGTAGAAACCTTTGCAGCGCTATCGAAACTCAGAACGTAGCTTTGATAGTTACGTCTAATATTTCCAAACTCACTGGTGGCATTACTTTCAGATGCCCTTTGACGGGAATCAGGGTTTCTGCAACTTTATCTAAGTGTTCCCTTGGAGTGATACCGGACCCAAGGATGGCCGCAAGGCTGTCCTCATCTTTCTGAGTCCGATGGATTTCCAGTGACCATCTTGATAATTCCAACCCCCACTTCAGATGCCGTCCATCTGCAGTGTTGGATTCTAACAAGCATTTCAGCACGGAGTAGCGCGTATACACCACAACCGGGAATTCTAAGCCATGGATCAGAGATCTGAACACCTCCAGAGTCCGCAAGATTGCGAGCACTTCCTTCTCGGCTTTATTGTAGCGTAACTCCGACTCCTTCAACACTATGTCAGTAAATTGCTCCTTCAACACTATGTCAGTAAATCGTAGTAGGTGTATGAGCCCTTCATGTTCCTGACCCAAAACTGCACACGCCGCCCACGGGTTAGCATGCGGAATAATCACGAAAGGCTTGACCCTATCTGGATGCCGCAGCAGCGGGGTCGACACGATCTTACGTTTCAGTATCTCGAAGGACTCCTTCGCGGCTTCCAGGTTCCGTCCAGCACGTACACGTTCTTCGTCCAGTTCGTAGAGCACAGCGGCAACTACTGGTAAGTCTTCAGTAAGCTTATTGTAGTAATTCAGACGTACTGTACCCCTTTGTACGTTGACGGGAAAGGTAAGTCCTCTATGCCTTTGACGATCTTCGGCAAGGCTCTGATTCCTTCCGCACTCACTTCATGAGAAAGGAATTGGATGGTCAACTTTCCAAATTCACTTTTCGGTAAGCTTACAGAGATATTCCAGTATCGCAGTCTGTATAACCGCGCGTCCATGTTCTCGCATAGTTGGTCCCAGGTCGACACCCCATGAGCGGTATCGTCAATATATGAGCTTCTCCCCCAGACCGGACCATTTCGAATGGAGCCGAATATTGCGTCGGAATACAGTCATTTCCAATGATGGAATCTCTGAGTCTTCCATATTTACTTCGGGTTTCAGGGCTTCTTGAGGCTTAAGATTCAGAAACTCTAGAACTTCTGGGTCAACCATCGCTTCTTCTTCAGGAGGTAGGCGAACGAATCTCCACACACAGTTGTTGATGACGCTCTGATAAATTAAAGGCGCATTCTTCAATCCAAAAGGCATTCTGAGCCATTGAAAGTGGCAGAACGGGCAAACAAACGCAGAGATCAACTTTGCACGTTCAGTCATACGCACTGTCCAGAATCGACTCGCCATGTCGAGATTCATAAACCACACAGCGGATTTAAAGTCTACCAACAGATCATCAATCAGCGGTAGAGGATAACGGGATAGCTGGATGAGCAAATTCAGAAGCCGGCAGTCAATGTCTATGCCGTTCTTCTTCAGTACGATCACAATGGGTGATGACCACTCGGACTCTGAATGCTCAATAAGCTCCGCCTCTAACAACTTCTTCAAGAGTTCGAACACCTTCACCAAGAAAGGTGCAGCAATTGGTCTTGCACGCAAAGCTACCGGTTTTGCTTCACCAACATCGATGTCACACCCTACGTCCCTAGCCGGGACCGCAGCTGCATTACCATCTCCCAGAAAGATGCACCTTGGCTTCCATCTCTGGAGTTGTGACCCCGGGAACCCCGACGTTTGCTTCATCAATGTTACATTCTGGGGCCAATTCCTCAATTTCCGGGAACATGATAAGTTGGCCTCGTCATCAAATCACTTCCTTCTCGAAGATATACGGCAGGTTCCAGGTCCAGTTCTTCGGCCTAGACTTGCATCACCTGAGCATATTCTGCTTCCAGTCTTTGGACCAGTGTCGAGCAGCTCGTCTGTGACTGGGCATCCACTGACCCTGTTTAGGCCGGAACACTATCCTCGGCGTCAGCGGCATTCTCTGGATCCAGGACCTTAAATTCTGGACTCACGTCTGCATGGGTCTTCTCTGCCTGTTCAGGACGGCTCTCAAGTCCCTCGGAGTTTCTCACGACTGTCTTCATAGCAACCGTTAAGTTTCCGATGACTTTGATTGCCATATCCAAAGGTTTAGGCCTTTCCTGCAAGTTCACCATCCTCACCTCAGCGGCTTGGAGTTGTGGGCGCACTTAGAGTTTAGTAGACCACTCATATCTCTGAGTCTGGGTGCACGGAGGCTTCCATTCCCTGAGAATCTGCTCTAATCGCTCGGAACGCATTCTTGCTTGGCGTGACACGGTACGCTCATGAATTAATTGTTGCCACTCTTCATACCGCGCCTTCCCAGGACGAACGAAACCATGTTGCCCTGGGAACTGTCCGTATTCCACGATACGGGCAACAGCAGGCCTTGTATCAATCCACACATTTTGGTCTGAAACATTGACAACCTTGACGGTGGTCGCCCAGGATCTAGCAGAATACAGGACTTTGGTCACCCAGTTTTCAGCTCTCCCAGCCCACACTAACTCACGTTGGGGGTTGGACGGCCATACCGGATTCGTACAATAGCGTCCTGACCAGGACGTAGGTGTATACTTTCCTCTGGACACACAGGGATATCCATACCACGGGACTTGGGATAATCGTCACACATAATCACAGTCTCTTTGTCTGGCAGACTGACTAAGCCTTCTCGTATACACCTGTCGAATGCATAAAGTTCATGCCAAGCAAGACGTCAACACCTTCTCCAATATTTCCAACCCAGATTTTCAGAACATACACCACACTCCACCCAAGGGTTATCTTCACTTAGGCATGAGTAGTGATGTAAGTAGTCACTCCTCCCAAACCAGAAACTTTGATTTGACGGTGTGTCCAGAGCTTGATCTTGAGTCTACGCGCTAGACCAAGACTCATAATATTCACTGACGCATCAGTGTCCAATAAAGTTTTATTCCTGAAGTCATTGACAGCTCCATGTATCGTCGTCAATCCATGCATGTCTCCATTCTCGTGATCTTCCCACCAACCGTACCTCTTACCCGGTTTCAAGGGCACTTCCAAAGGATACTGAGATTCAGACTCAGAGATTTCTAGAATCGGGTCATCTGAACGCTGGTACTCTGAACGCTGGTACTCTGAGTGCAGTTATTCAGGGTAGATGATTTCATCTTGAACTAAATTCATGCATTTTTGGTTATCTGGTAGTTGCGTCCTTCGTTCTGGTCCTATACAGACTAACACACACGTGGTTCTTAGGCCCGTCGCGTACCGGATCCCCATCCGGCGGGCTTAGCGGTTTAACTGCTGCGCCCCTGAAGCGTTGTCCTTCGTCTGAAGGAGACTTCGAAATGGGATTGGTAATTCACTTGCATTTCCTTACCTAGCCATTGACATTACTGACTGGAAAACCTTCCATTGTTCATACGATATTCCACCATGAAAACCTTCACATTCTGCACAAGGAACCCTGGTACAGACTCTGGTCGGGTGTCCTATGGCTTGACATCGTTCACATATTACTCCTGTCCAACAGTTGGCCTCAGAACCCTGGTACAGACTCTGGTCGGGTGTCCTTTGGCTTGACATCGTTCACATATTACTCCTGTCCAACAGTTGGCCTCAGGGTGCCCCACTTCTTACATTTCTCACACAAGACATCCCAGTTCTCTGGTCGTGCTACACCTTGGCCCGCGTACGGGCTGGGTGACTTCCAATATTTGTTCTCTTCGACTCGAAATACTTCCCCGTCAATTCCACTATTGGGGAACTCTGAGACCGATTTCGAGTGCGCCTGTGCCTGTTCTGAAAACACTTCAGGGCTCTGAAACTCTGAGTCCTGCGCGGGATCGACGTCCCCTTGAGTCACAAAAGCGCGTCCCAGACGTCTGGCAGGTCCACGATTCTGAGTCCGGCCTTGTTGGACATTGTCGGCGCGGAAATCTCTGGGCTTCTTAGGAGCTGGGGATTCATACCCTACTTCACGCCAAACATCTGCATGGCGTCGTAATGCTCGTTCCACGTCCGTGATACTCAGAAACCTGTGGTCTTTGAGGGCTGTTTTCAGCTGATCGTTTCGAAGTTTCTTGATGAATCTTCGAATATGAGACTCACGTAGCTTAGAGCTCAACTTAAACTTAACCTCAGCCTTGACCGCAGCCGCATTCAGACGATAGAAGAACTGCAACGAGGTTTCGTGGTCGGTCATCTTCATCGTAAAGTATCTTTCGGAATATGAAGCTGTAGTACCAATGTACAGCTTCCTGAATCTGCGTGACATTTGTTTCCAATCGTGACGTGTAGATTGGGGTAGCTGCGCAAACCAGTCCCTGATCGCCGTGAGCATCTGGCTCCTAAACTGACGAATCTTCATCGTATCTGACCAGGATCCTTGCGATGCCATATCCGAGAATCGCTCCCATCAATTGACCCGATTATCCCTGAACACCTTTTCATCAAACTTTTCCAGGTTAGTGCAGCCAATGTAGGGTCCACAATTCCATAAAGTTGTTCCGTCGGCTGTAGTCATCGTGGTCATCCCGATGTCTTCAGCCTCACTTGAAAATCCTTCAGCATCGCTAGAATCATAACTTCCTCCTCGACCAAGATCATTGTCGCTATCACTGAGTTCCGAATCATCCGGGTCATCCAGAGGAGGGTCAGACCTCTCCTTCGCCTTCTTCGGTTGTGGCTTCTTCGACGATGACGATGTTGCTTCTTCCTTTCGTGGCGCAGACTTTCTCGCAACTTGTGGCTCCGTTCGCCTCGCGGTAGGTGGAGTCTGTGAAGCATTCGGAGACTCTTGGCGAGTAGCGCTCTTGACTGGAAGTGTCTCGCGCTTGATCTCTCGTTTTTGATCCACCGGACCACTCTGTTGGACGGATGCCACTGTCGGTGACGCACCCACGATGGGCGTCTGTCTATTCTTGGCCGCGACTGCTCGTACTGGATTCAGAGTTGACGGATCAGGGGAACTCAGAGACTCAGCCTGCATACCTGTTGCTGGATTGGGGGTAATCTGGGAGATGGCGGCTTGAAGTACCGTTAACATCTGATTTTGCATGCCAGTCGCCATCGCTTCCGTCTCGGTCTTCCATTCTTCTTCTCGCTTCTTGAGTTGCTGTTCGAAGTTAGACCACTGAGAATTGAGCGTTCGCTCGCGTTCTTCCAGAGCAATTTGAGCGTTCGTCAGCCAGTTCTTCTGGCCTACATCAGACTTTGGGCCTTGTTGAGCAAGCTTATCGTCAAACTCACGTTGCATGCGCTGTTTCTCGTGCTCGAGTGATTCTTCAAAATAGACTCTCGAAATCAGGGTCTCTTGTTTCGGGCTTGGAGATCTCAGAGCTTCGGAGTGTTCAGACATCGAATATTGTGAGCTAGACTTGAGTCTCTGCTCGTACTCAGGAGTCTGAAGCTTTAAGTTTTCCAGCTGAGCGAGCCTGTCGGCTATCGCTTGCATACTCTCCGAGAGACCATGCAGTTGCTGCTTAAGGCGTCGCTCTTATCTTTTAGGAGAACAAAAACCATTAAAATCATTAACAACTGCATATTTACATAGTACTTTTAAATGCAAATCTAAAAAATATAACAAATGAAATTGTTCGA